GTGAAAAACTGACTTTGAAAAATAAATCTGTTCTTTTTTTTCTTTTAAAAGGCTAAATAAAACAAAAATATTGTCCGTAATTTTTGACTGTTTACAAACGGCACCCGATACATTGCATTCACCAAATGAAAAAAAAAAAAAATAGGACTCCTGATCTCATAATTATGAGATCTGTATCATTATGAGATTCTGATGTCATAATTATGAGATAAGTCATAATTATGAGATAAGTCATAATTATGACTTATCTCGTAATTATAAGATCAGGAGTCAAATATTTTTTATTAGGTGAATGGAATGCCCTTCCCTAGAAAGCTCTCATCAAAGCAACAATGCAAAATGCAAGGCCATGTCTTTGACAGTGTGCATCTTCTACACACAGGCAATTCAAAGAGTTTTATGCAGTCACTTAAAAAGTATAGAACATAATAGTAAATCTCATTTTGTAAAGCACAGAGCAAAACCACACACACACACACACACACGCACACACACACGCACGCACGCACACACACACACACACACACACACTGCTATTGATAGCCCAGTGGGGACCCTTGATTTCGGCATGACTTTTTATTTATTTATTTATTTATTTATTTATTTATTTATTTATCTATTGCATATTTCTTGTTTATTTGTAGTTTTCTGGTGTTTCAGTGAGTCAGTCTTGGTTCTTCCTTAAACGTTTCTCCAAGACTTTCAAGGTGTTTGTCTTCATGGGTCAGTATTAACAGCTGTAAACTGATGAAGATGTAGCCTATATGTTTTTTTTTAGTTTTATCTCCTGCAGCAGACATGGTGTCTTTCTGAAGCCAGAGATACAGTGGAACAGTTGTAGGGCAGGTCTATCTGCTGAGACATGATTGGCCAAACAGCATGTCTTCAGTGGGCTGCTCAGAACCAAAGGTCCAACCACTCTGCTCAAACTGTAGCTTTGACGTAGCTGCTGGACACCTTCAAGGCGAGCGCCAGTCGGCTGTGTGTTTCTGCAGAAATATGGGCTCCAGCAGCTCTGACATGAAAACTGTCCCAAACTCCCAGGAGCTCATGGAGGAAACCGGCTGTGAGTTCAAATTATTTTGACTTGTGCTTTTCTGAAAATAATCTGAAGGAAACAAGGAAAAGTATAAGAGCAATGTGCTGAATGGTTTAAAGCTGCATGGGTTTTATTTAAATCAAACCATTTCAATGCAGAATTAAAAAAAATCTTGTAATAATAAAATTGACATCTTTTTGTTTCACTAAACTGAGTGTTTGTGATCCTCGTGAATGCTGTTCACCAACTAGTTGCAGCACAGTTAGACACAGCCTTTATGTGTGTGTAAACCTACACACATCTGTGTTTCAGTCTCTGCCGCCCACCTGTTCCGACTCTATGAGAGGTTTGAGTTTCTGGACAAAGACAACAAAGGACACCTCAGGTTAGTCAGCAATACAGTTACGTTTAGAACACCTGGATTGCCACCAGGCCCTCCGATCACCATCAGCAGGCTAAACGGATGAAGCGTACTTGCCCAAGGACACAACAACTGAGACGGCTGGAATGGGGGGATCAAACCAGCAACCCTCCGATTACAGMACAACTCCTCTAACCACTCCACCACAGGAATCAGGAAGATCTTAATGAGCTTCTAACATAAATTTTTAAAAGGAAAAACATGGCTGGTGGGATCCAAGACAGAGGAGGTCCATCACAAGCTGCAGACAACTCTTATATCATCCATTAAACTGACCTAAACCTGTTCTCAAAATCTCAAAAACCTCTTCATCATACAGTCTGGAATTGCAATATGTTTGTTCACAGTTTTAAACCTGTGAACATCTTGCTGTGAGGCAACAATACAAACCATTTATTTAAAGATGCATTTTACAGGGACGCTTTTTTTGTGTGTGCATATTTGGACTAATTTTCTGTTTTTCTGCTTGTGTCTCAGGCCCGAGGATTTTGAAGCAGTTCAGGAGTTGTCCACGAACCCCATCAGAGACAGAATCATTGGGTCCTTTTTCCCTCCAGGGTACAACATGAGTCAGTGCAGGACAACACTTYAGTTTAATGCAGTTAAAACATGAACATTTCCATGACAGGACCTTCTTTAAAATTATTACAAACAGTTATAGAGCGTTGTACGGCCAGGCCCCCCACTTGTACAGCAGATCTACATCACTCATATGTGTCTACACATACGACCAGCTAAAGGCCTGCGGATGGAGCATCATCACCTCAGTCTCTAAGAGCTGTGGATTCAGTGGGGATTTTTAAAAAAGAAGCTAGCTTTGTAGCTACTTGACTAAAAGTGCTCAACAATTACAGTTTCTTACTTCTAAGCACAAATGCAAGAGTTGTCAGTTGTTTTGACACTCAGTCAAGTTCCTGGTTAGATTGCCCGATGAAGGCCTTATACTGAAATGTTGCTGCATTAAATGTTCAATGCCAGTTTTGTTTTGCTATTTGAGAGAACTATAAGATTATATTGAGTTGTGATACATTGAAAGTAATTTGAAAGGGAAGCAGGGGGGGAATAAATGAAACTTTCCTTTTCTTCTGCAGACAGGAAACTGCGGACTTCCCCACTTTCGTCCGGATTCTGGCTCACTTCCGTCCCACTGAGAAAAGCCGAACTAGAGGAGATCAGCCGGAACCGGCTAACAGCAGCACCGGGAAACTCAAATGTGAGTCTACAGTTTTCATGTTTGTCTGATTCAGGGCAGTTCTTTTTAAGAAGATTTTATTTCTTTTAGAAATAAAATAGATTTAGAAACTGTCCGTCTTCAGTTGCCTTCCAGCTGTACGATCAGGACAGAGATGGGAAGATTTCCAAAGATGAGCTTCTTCAGGTTGGTAAACTTGATTTCATTATTATTATTTTCATTGATGCCGATTTTTATGTTAAGAGTTTTAAATGAACACAAAAATACAGCAAACCAGCACTGATAAAATCTTTCCTGCAAAACAGCTCACTGCTATTCTTTCTCTTTATGAATGGTAACTGGCTTCAAATAAAAAGAAGAAAAAAAAGAGAAAATACAAACTCACACAAAATTACATATTATCAGCTTTAGTGTCCTGACTTTTAACTGTTTGTACTCCATTTGAGACAAACACTAAAGTCAGCAGGGGTGATGATGACAAAAATAAGTTAAGGATCTCATCAAAATCTGTGTGAACTAGAGTTCTGTCACCATTCAACCAGTACAGTGGAACCATAAAGTCCCACAGTATCTGCCACCTGAGCATAACAAGCTGTTACTAGTACTGCTCCCCTCCTGTGTGTTATATATAAGTTTGCTTCACTAGATCAGTTTGTTTCATCATACATATGAAATTACAACTAAGACTCTGATTTTATCCTCAAATGTAATCAAGCATGAAAGGTCTAACATCCTTAAAACATTTTGAATACAACAAAAACAGAAAATCAAATATAGCAGAGGAATGTTTTGCAAAAAAAAAGAAAGAAAAAAAAAGCTGGTTCTGTGTGTGAAGGTGCTGCGAGCGATGCTGGAGATGCAGGTGACCGAGGAGCAGCTGCAGAGCATGGCAGAGCGAGCCATCCAGGAGGCCGACTTGGACAAAGACAARGCTATTTCCTTTGAGGAGTTCAGAAAGGTGAGATGTACTGTACAACGACCACTGAAATCCTTTCTTTTAATTTGTTTTATAAAACTTTTTTTTGTTTTGTTTTGTCACATCACATGGACTCATATAGTTTTATACTCCCAGTTTGTCTAGTTATCCTGTAAAAACAACCATTTTAAYATGAGTTGAGCAAGATATCCAACATCAGACACACACGTTAAACAGAAGAAACGTACATTTACCCCTCAGACAGGACAGTTTGGTTAAAAAAACTGAATTTTTGTTCTTTTCTTTTCAGACACTGGAGAAAGTGGACACTGACCAAAAGATGAGCAGTCGCTTCATGAAATGAAGACACAAACTGACAAAGACTTTTTCACATTCAGCAAAAACCAGACAAGTCGTGTGTCCTCTTGTGTCCTTTCACACAGGATGTGAAAGGACACAAGAGGAAGAAATCAAGATGTTCCTGGTTTGAGTCCGATCTGCTGCTGCCTCAGTCAGATGAGAGACATTTAAAGACTGTAAAAATGAAAGAAAAACAACTCAGATGTCTCTCCTTGATGAATAATCTGTGCTCAAAGACAATTTAACATGATTTAAATAACAAGAACGCCAAAAATAATTCTGCAGGAAGCTCATTCTGCACATTGTAAAATGTGTCAGTGTCAGACACGTTGATAAAAAAAAAAAAATTGACTTTTTGTTGACAATAACTTGTAGATTTTGTCTATTATAAATGGAAAATAGTCTAGAAGTTAATGGTGAAAGTGTCTCTTTTCTTAAACTTGAACTTTCTTGATCATATTCTGAGTTTTTACACAGAAGGAAAGCCCTGTTTTCCATTGTCTCACCATGACTGAATCATCTGCATAACCTGACATTAAACGTTCAGGGCTTTGACACACCAGGAAAGAGTGAAGAGCTCTGTGTTTGACAAATAACAATCAAAGTAAAACTTTTTTAAACACACTTGACTGAATAATTTACACCTATTGTCAGATGAGAGCAGATACTTCACCGTGTATTATATAAAGTTCATATTTCAACATTATTTTACACAATCATCACAGTCTTACAGTGTAAAAACTTAAGATGTGACACATCAGTGTTTAAAACAACTTTTTATTGTTGAATCCCATAGAAATAAAACATGAATACTGCTTAATTTATAAAAATCATTACCATACAAACAATAAATATTTAAGGAGGAGATACTATTTCTGATGTGTGATTTTTTTTAAATAGAAAATTTTAAGGAAAAGAAATCAGCAAGCAGCGATCAGATTTCTGGCTTTGCTTAAAAGCAAACAAATCCAGTTCAGATGTCAGCCAATACCTAATATAGGCAACATATATTWATCTTTCTTACAGATATCAGTTGTTAAAAACTGGTTGTTGTCATTTTCTGGGATGAAGGATCTCTGAACGATACGTTTTGTTCAGCTCGAGACTTGCAGGACAAAGCCACAGACCACAGAAACAAGAATAAACCTGAGAAAAGAAAACACAAACTGAATCTTTGCAGTAGGTCATCTTTAGCTAATTCCCACCATGATGAAGTCACACAGACTGACCTTGCAGTGAGTTCAGTATTGTGAACAGGTAGATCCCAGGTAAGGTAGCGTACGTGGCGGTAGCTAATCCCCAGGGTATGCCCAGCACACAGCTCAGGCCCAGGACTGTGGCACAGTCCTTCCATAACCTGGGCCCTCTCTCTTTTTTCATCTTCTTCCAGTCGCTGCTGCTTTCATAGCCTCCTGTATCACCTCTTAACCCCCAGAGCTTAAACACCACCAGCCCCAGCATGCAGCTGTTATACAGCACCACGAGACAGAGGAAGCCTAGTGTCATGTAGAGGACCAATTCTCTCTGTGAGAAATCGCTCCTCAACCAGCATCTGCCCAGAATCGAGGAAACAAAGCACAGAAACAATAATCAAGTTAACTGTGTTTTGATTTTTGGAAACTTTATTGTTTAGAGTCAGAAAACCAATCCATCAATTTGAATCTAGGATTTTCAAAACGGCTGCCATAAAAAAGTCAAACAATACATCAATATCTTGGCTTTTGCATAAACCAGAGCTTTAACTTTGAGCCAAGGAATCCAGTGGTGTTTGTTCAGGCCCTGTCACACTTTAACGTTTAGGCAACTTGTGAAAATTTTAAAGACGCTAAAGATGGTAATTTTTAAAAATCAACTGAAAGCCTTTTTTAGGCGTGTGCATACTGCAATGTTAACAAATTGTTCAAATATATAAGTTTTATTAGTAATTTAGACATAAAAAATCATATGTTGTTTAAAACAGTGTGACAGGGCCTTCAGTGATGTTTCAACATCTTTGATAATGATTTTAAAAATTCAGTGATTTAATGGGGGAAGTTTAAACATAACAAAAGCACCAACCAAAAGTAGTAAATACGATGATTCATGTTTTAGGTCTTACTACTATCATGCATATTCAAATTTCCTTTATTATATCTCACACCAGGGAAGGCAAAGACACAGCAGTACTGTTTTTGCTCGACTTATTTTCAGCAAACACAAAAAAAAGGATAGTACAGCCCTACAGTTGTTGCACTAAAATTTGGTGTGGCAACGGCTGAAATTAAACTCAACTTTATTTTCCGAGTACCTACTGATCATGTTTGAGATGAGATCTGTTTTTAAATATTTGGCATTAACTACTGGAATCAACTGTTGGTTAACAAAATTCCTCATGAGCCACTGGATGAATTCCAAGAACTATTAACTTTTGGAGTCAAACCAAGTCAAGATGGCTGTCGTGTAGGTGGTCGTATAACAGTTGTGAAATATTTTGCACCAGGCAGTGAATGCATTCAGAAATACTCCGTCCACATTGAAGTCTTTTCTTGTAAAGTATGCCTCACCTGCCTTTACTGACCTCACACCACTTGCGTCAACATATCTTATCTTCTGCTGTGCAAACATCTGAAACCTCAAACTAACCACTGATGTCTACTTGACAGGAAAAAAAACATACTCTGCACAATGCAAGTAATTTGACAACAAGGTTGCTATTGCACAGGCAACTACCAAAAAAAAKCATATTTTATTGCCCAAGAGGGTTGTGAATCAGGTTTGCCGACAWCTGACTCTTCAGCACAATTCACAAAGTCCCATACAAGTCTGCTTCCAYTTGCAAGGTAGCCCTGGTTGATGGGAGGATTAATGTGCAGAATGAGGATTATTGTGCAGAAGACGAGAAAGAAATCAGCTATTGTAGTGACAACTGAAGATCCCAGTAAATGTTTCAATGACAGACTGATGCCTCTCCCACAGGATTATAATGAAGATGTTGAACAGATACAGGAATGATTCTTTGAAGAGTTCTACTGGGATAAGAGATAGCACGGAAGAACCCTGGACATTAATCAAACTTCAGACATCCTAATTATTAAACACGAGGAGAACATGCAAACTCTGTACAGAACAAACCCATGTCTGAACCAAGAATCAAACCCAGGACTTTCTTGCCATGAGGCATCAGTGCTAACTACTGATCCATTGTGTTGTTCCTGATGAGTAGGTCRGAACAAATGAGCAAAAACTCTGGATCATCATTCAAACCCCCCCACAAAGGTTTTCAAAACATTTTGGACACTTTCTTGTGAATTCTGTTAGCCAACTTATCACTAATAGTTGGCTCTCCACAAGACATCTATATCAAGATCGTATCTCAAGTGCAGTGGCATTTATTCTGAAAGCTTATGGCTGACAGTGACATGCTACTTTCTACGCTTAGATCTTTAACACAACATATCCAAACCAGTGTGGGGACAGACAAGCAATGGACAGGACCCTCAATTAAACACCCCTGCAGAAAAGGCAGAATCAATGTAAAACTGACATTTCTTTTGCCAGATGTCCTTGTAGATCAAACAAGTAGACAATATTTTGCGGTGTCATATCTAGATTATTTATATTTATATAAATTGAATTAATTTTTAGCCCTGGAAATTACGGTTAAAAATCAAAGCTCTGTGTTATTGAGATGCCAAGACATTGATGAAAACTTTTTTTGAGGCAACTGTTATGTGGAAAAGCAAGATGGTGGCCGTTTAGGTCTCAGATTATAAAAAAAAAAAAAAAATTGGCTTTTCTGATTATGTATACAATGAGGTTTTTAAAGATGTATAGTTTTTCACTCTCCCCGAAAACCTGGTAAAATGTCATAGTGAACCTACAAGGGTCATCTTGAAATTTCATGAAATTTTAGGAGCACATGTAAAATGATGATGGTTTCTTACATTTCTGATGTTGACGTCTGGTTTTTGGAATTCTTCAGTTCCAGAATATATTTCCCATAGGCACCTGAAACCCCACAAATCATGGCAACCAGCGTAGGAAGACCTGTTGAAAAATAAAAACAGCTCAACCATTGCGCCACAAAAAATTTTCAAACTAGAAAGCCCTTGACAAATAATTGCAAATCTTAAAAACAATTTGTTATGTTAAACTTCTGTTGGCCAGCGTGGAATAAACAAAATTTCCTCAACGACAAATGTTTATATGAATGTCATTTTTGACTTCGTTTGACAGAAATACAATTCCATAAACAGTAGAACTCACCCCATCCCACAATGCTGAGCTTGAGCACGTATCTTCGCACATAAATGTTAAAGACTCGGACGAGGAGAAGGTATAGATGGAATCCTTCCAGAGCTACCCAGGTGAAGGTGGCCACTAGAGACCAGTGTAAAAACAGACCCAGGCCACGACAAACCCAGGTGTTCCCATTCCCGCTTGGCAGCAGAACCCAAAAACTGCAGGCCAGGAAACCCAGGTGGAGACAGAACACGGCCACCGTYAGCTGCATGTGCATGCTGATGGCCTTCTCAGGACGTCGCCGACTGTTGAAGAAATGACAGCATGTTGTTATAATTTTCAATAATACCACTGAAAAGACTGATGGCTCATAACATACACAAGTTGTTGTCTTGTATCTAGCACAATAATAATTTGTTCTCCTAATGAATACAGGCAGGAGTTTAAATAAGTTATGATAGAAATTAGTCTGCACAGTTATGTTTAAATCTCACATAAATTATTTATCAAAGTTGTAATCATGGTTACTTGTGTTAATATGTACATTATGAATCACTTTTTTGTTATGTACTGAGGAAGCTTCTCCTGATGCAACACCAGCCCATATCAACACTTCAAGCACTGYATTGTGTCAAGTTGAATGTATTAAGGGATATAGACAAATGAACACATTTGTTGGGTTTATTTTAACTTAATTCATCCCATAAAATTTCCCTTTCTTTTTCACTGTGGACACTTTTTAGGTTCTTACCTATAGATATACTGCATTTTATTTTGACTGAATCTCCAATAAAGCTCCTTTTATTCAAAACGCATTCTGGAGTTATTGTGAGAAAGCAATCTGCACTGAAAAGCAGCCCATTAAGAAAGGTCACCCTCAATGCACAGGCCTTTGAATGAAATTCAGTTTTACTTAGGAACAGTATCCTTTACCAAAACATTCAGATTTAATAATTAGGTTTAAAGCAAATGTGAAAGACATGCATTTGTATCAGTTACTGGCCCCCACAAATACGAGTGCACAAATACACGTTTAACAGTCTGACTGCATAATAGACATCTAAGTGACTCTCGCTTGAGTGAAAGTAAAACACTTTTGTTTTTCCAAATGGCAAAGATTTGACCATGAAGTCTCCTAGAATACAACAGTTGTTCACTGTTTAATGTCAACATAGGAATCACACTACAAAAACATGTACAATAAGTTCCCTTCAGGCCCCGGCCTCCATTGAAAAAGAGATCTGCAATATCAATGGGATTTTCCTGGTAAAAAAAAACCCCACTCAGTTCATGTAAAATCTGTTCAAAACTGATGAACACACCTGTATGAACATGTAGGAGTTTTTATGTGTGTCCTTTCCGGCGTTACAGTTCTCTTGAATCATGTACGCACCGATGTTTTACAGGAAACCATCAAACTGTAGATTATGACTTGACCTTGACCTCAAACTGATCGAAATGTAAAACAAACATGTGTGTGGTGTACGTGTTCACTTCACTTCTGGGATCCTCCAACAAGCACACATATTTGATTAGATATGAGARATTTCTACAAAACTAACATGGTTTTAATCAAAGACCGTTTATCCAACAGTGTTTGACGAGAATTTTCAGCAAAACACATTTTTCTGATCATGTCACTCTAAGTTAGAACTGCTGTGTTTATTAGTAGTATTTCACGACTTAGAATTAGTTTTGATATAATGATTAAAACAGTGTTTCTTTAAATCCCTATGAAAACATTGAGTTGGGCTTAGAAACACAACACAACATAGCTAAAGCCCTGGTACACTATAATGTCAACTGTGGGAAAAAGCAAAAATAGAACAGAGCAAACTACCTTAAATGGTTATTAGGCCAGTGTTGGGTTGTCATGTGGTCTGATTGCAGCCAGAGTCACATTTTAATGATCACAACTTTARGAGGAAATGTGTTAAAACTTTTAGAAAGACTACCGTGAATGTGCAACAATGTTTGTCAAGTTTAAAGAATGCAGGTCTAAAGAAAACACACCCTTTACATCAACAGATTCCTTATCCGGACCAGAAAACCAAATATATTATCTCCCTTCAGATCAGCGTGTATTTTGACTTCTATATATATTTCACTTACTCTATAACAATTTGTTTAAAGATAAAAAAGAAGCAACTTACTGCAGACCAACATAGATGAACAAACTGATAAAGGAAAACAGTGCTGAGAGTCCAGATCCGACATAGGTAATGTAACTCAGCCTCTCCTCYTTACTTTCATCCACCTTTAGGTTTGGGTTCTGGAACAAAACAAAACAGTTTGGGTTAGCTAAAATGCATTTTATATTCAAGGCTTTGARGGAAGCCTCTTCGTGAAACGTTAACCTGTTACTGGTGTAACTGTCTCTTCAGTGAGTTCTGATATGTGACCAAAAATGGGCCTTCAAGCAGCAAAAAAAAACATGTGACTGGTTGAAACTTTCTGTTACTAAACAACATTTTAAGCCTGAGAAAACCAGGAAGGAAAAGAGGAACATGTGACTATTGTAATGTGAAAGAAGGAGTTTTGATTTGTCATAGTTTCTACATCAGTAATTCCTTCATATTCTTACATTTTATACAACTTGGATAAGTTGTAAAAAGTAAAGCCAACATTTAGATCCTGACWATTTAAATAAGAAATGTTGAAACCACTGCAGTACCTGCCTTGAATTCATCAAGTTATGACTTCTAACTGAGTGGTTCCAGTTGGTGAAGGACTTTTAGTTTTTATAAGATTTTTGGAAATAAGTGATAGAAAGAGAATAATTACCACAAGCACAGCAAAGAAGCTGAGATGATTGCAGCTACAAATAACCTCCTGTCCATTATTATTTGTTTGACAACCACTTGTGCTCCAGCCTAAAACACACACAGTGTATCAATCAAGYTTTACCACCATATTTAGGAGTATTAAAGTTGTTTGCATTTTCAATCTACCTGATTTATTTAGATACTCCTCCCAAAACACACACGTTGTGTTCATGGCCTGAAACAAAGGGATCAGAAAGAGGGAAACATGTTAGAACACTTTCTAAAAGTTAAACATCAAAGTTCAGAGTTTCATGTTCTTATTTATTGAATTTTAAATTTTTATTTACTTATTTCTTTTGGTTGTAGTTTTACCGTTTTACTGTGCTTGAACCTTAACTCGATGAGTTGGGTGAGGTTTTTGACTGGTTTGGATCCTGCCTTCACAAACAGGACTTCCCTCCCTAAAACCTCTCCCTGCAGGGGGGCCTGGCGCTGAGGAATTGTAAATCTACCTTGCCGTGTCTGTGGCTTTAGAGTGACACAAAGTCATGAAGGATTTGTAACAACAGTGACATTTTTTTTTAAATCAAAATCAAGCTTTGTTTGATTTTCACAGGATGCATAAAACAAGGTGGTGCTTCCTTGCTGAACGTAAAATGTCTAAAAACAGTTGAACTGAAGTGATAGTCCACATATTTTGCTGTAGGTTTAGAGTGACAGACCTTAAAATATGTGCTGTTGATCACTGAGGCCACCAGCAGGACTTCCTCCTCCGATTCCTGATGTCTGCTTCTCCGAAGAGCCAAGGACGGGACTCGAACCGTGTATTTATGCTTCATAGTTATTTCAGCCTGAAAACCAAACGTAAACACTCAAAAAAACACAATTCTGAATCTCGAACAGAAACTGAAAACAATAACTTCAAACATAAATAGAACACAGCTTAAAATGTGGTTTCCTGTCGGAAAACATGACTCTCTACATTTCTTTTATAATCATAAATAATTTATTTTCCCACCCTCACAAGTTCAATAGGTCATGTGGGTAAGCCCAAGATGAGCTGATTAGGTTCAGGTTTCAAACTGTCCCATGTTTTGACACAGTTTGCGTCCGTCAACATGCGAGCAACAATAATTTAACAAAGAGCACAAAAGAAAGAACAAATGCATTTTTTTAAATTTTATATAAAGATTTATTTTACCTGTTAAAGCTGCCTCAGCCTTACCTCCTGTGATGAATTCACACGTTCATGTTTGAAGTCAGAGGAAGGAGACCCGCGTGGCCGTCGGCAAGTTGCAATTCTGTCCTCATAACAACTACGACAAACATGATGTTTGACTCGTTTCAGCTGAACATATCTCAACACACTYAACAAGAGCAACATCCATGAGAACTACTGTCGTACACATTCGGTGTCTGCTGGAAAGCAAATTAAAGGTCTAGAACTCCCTGCAGGAYTGCATGTCACCCATCGCCTGTCATGCCAGTTTTGCATATTTCACTACTGTTTTTGTCTAAGATGAGGAWCATTAGCTGTGGGGGGCCATCTTATGTAAATTCAGTTGACAGAAGTTTAGCAGTTGTCGAGACAGGTAAAGCCAGTTGGCTTACTGAAAGTTATTTTTATGTTGTGCTAACAGTGCTGACAAAAGAACACACACACAAACACACTGGCATAGACATAACCACCACATTGCTTTTGACAGCAGGTGATAAATCATTTGACTTCAGGTACATTAATAATTTGAATTGTGTGCATATTTCCTTTGCTTATGAAGTTATTTGTAAACATCCTTTCTGGGTCACAGGTGGCCATTGCAGCAGTTATTGCTTGAGAGGRGGGTACAAGGGCATCACAGGGACACACAGGGAAAACCATTCTCATGTTCGTTCCTACCACAGGTTAATTCAGATAGGTCAACCTATTTTCTTTTTTTTTTTGTCTGTGGGAGGAAACCCACACATGCACAAAGAGAACATTCAAACTTTACACAGAAAGGTTACCGGCTGGGAATCGATCCTACAACCTTCTCACTGCCCTGTTTTTAAACACTGGTATGAAAAGACGAATGAAATCAACACTTTTTATTTTTTTGATTGTTGACAGTATGTAACTATGGAAGCCCATTTCCGCCACCCTGATAAAAAAATAAAACTTGTATCTCATAATTATGACTTAGCTATCTCATTATTATGAAATACTATCTCATAATTATAAGATACTATCTCATAATTATGAGATACTATTTCATAATTATGACTTAGCTATCTCATAATTATGAGATACTATCTCATAATTATGACTTGGCTATCTCATTATTATGACTTAGCTAAGTCATAATTATGAGATAGTATCTCATAATTATGAGATAGCTAAGTCATAATTATGAGATACAAGTTTTATTAATTTTTCATCAGGGTGGCGGAAATGGGCTTCCAAATGTAACTAATGACATGTAAGATAAAGACAGAAAAATACTGGACCACAAGTTAAGCCTTTCCGGAATGACATTTTAAAGGTTTAAAACAAACAAACAAACAAACAAACAAACAAACAAACAAACAAACAAAAAACAACAGGAACAGCGTCACATTAAAATACACGGTAAAAGTTACCTGGTCCAACGAGCCGGATCTGTTTTCTGACACTCATGGATAACCAATAAACAGGAAATTGCTAAAGCGACACAGAAAGTAAAGTGGTCAGAAGGAGCTCCGTTCTGCTGATGGATGAACACTGAAGTGACATTTCTGAATCTACAACATTCGTCCCTCTAAACAACACAACATACGAACAACATATAGAGTTTACTCACTTGTGGTCTGGGTCAAAGAAAAGCAGAGTGTGAGGAGAACAAAAGTAATCCACATCGTGCCTGTTTCTGTTCCAGTCACATGTAGAGCATGTTCTGTGTGGCTGAAACTCYCACACTGTGCCAAGATGTGAGTTCTACATCGGTTTTGTTCAGCAGATGAGCTGAGCAGATGATGACAATGAACAGGAAATGATTCACACCACCCATGACCCTAAAGTTTGGAAGATATTACTTGAAATTGTTACAACAAAGCTTGTTTTTTTAAGAAAAAATAATCACTGTGTTGACAGAGTTTGGTGAAAGGCCGTCACAGAGTGTGATTATTTGGAAACAATTTATGAAGCATTAATAAGCAGTTAAAACAGTTGTAAAACACCTCATACATTCAAGCAGGCTCACTATTTGGCAAAAATAAGTGCTTCTTTTTAATTAATTCATGTAAATATGTTTCTTTAGTGACTCACCTTACATATAGCTTTTTTACTAAGCTAACGCTTTGTAACTACAAACGTTCATACTGATTACAGGTAACTAACATATTTACGTATATGTTTGGTATTTYAAATCTAAATGATGAGTAATCCAGATAAACAATGAATCTGAAGAAAAATGTTGGCTCACTGTCAGACAACAAACAAGTCCATKTTCTTTTATAAAACACACCGTGACTAATGGCTTATTAAGTTTTCAGCTCAGTCAGCAAATGCATAGTTAAGCAATTATTTAAATAGGTACACAGTGAGATTATCCTGTAAAAACCTGTCTTGAGAAAAAAAATCTTTAGTGACTGTTTAGAGAAAACAGGAAGTTTTCACATGTTGTGGTTTTCCATTACACAAGAAAGGAGAAACAGCTCCGTCACAACGGTTAAGAACTACTGATGTTTGCACCTTGCAGAAGAAGTGAAACTCAGTGCAGCAAACTGTGTGTTCACTCACTGGCCGCTTGCATAAAAATGTAGATCCTGAGAGGCAGATGCACTGTGACTTGGCTTCTTTCTTCTTGTTGAGTTTTTATTGGTTCAGAAGATTAGAGATAGAAAGTCTATTTTATCCTTGGGATTAAAATTTGTGTGATTCCCGATTTCTGTTGAGCTTTTTCCCATTCCATCGTCATTTGAGTAAAATTATTAAAACGACTACATTATGATACATATTTTCTAAGAATCACTTTTGTTAGTGAAATAACATCAATCTGTTATTTAGATGGTTCAAGAGTTTTATTTGGTTATGGAATTTCAATATAAACATGAGAATAATCAAACCTAAAGTGTATCAGGAGTTAAAATAAACTGATTTAATATGAGAGTGTTTTATTAGAGAAGTGGTTGTTGAGCTCTCTTTAGGAGATCTAATCAGTTTTGATGCCTGAAATTGTCAGCTGAGTTGAAGACAGTTTGTCCTCCATTTGTCTCTTCCTCTGCTTGTTTGCTGAGAGGCAGATCCACAGGAAGATGAAGAAACCTTGGTGAACAGATACACAATGACATTAAAGTCATGAAAAGATTAGACAAAAGCCCTCAAACAGACATGCCCTGAACGTCACAGGCAGAGGTTCGAAAAATAAATAAATAAAAAAAAAAACACAACAGACACCTTGTAAGGAGTTGAGGATGCAGAAAAGGTACAGGATGACGTAGTTGACGTGTCCAGATCCCAGGAACACCAGGCCCCAGGTGGTCCCCATCAGGCAGGTGAGACCCAGCAGAGTCAGGCCACTCCTGCAGGACGAGCTGAACTTCTGCTGGGCACACTTTCTTTCAACTCTCAGTTTTAAGTTACTCTGTCTCATCTTACAGATGCTAGAGCCCACTGCCATCAATATTCCAGAGTTAAAGATGAAAATAAGGGTGAAATAGACAAGATTCATGGAGTAGAAGAAGGTGTCATCGATGATCCAGCAGCTGTAAAACAGAGTGTTAGATGAAGTTCTCAACATTGCAAAGAGACACAGGCATATCAGCTTTTTATATGACAGGCAAAAGGAAGGAAARAATTTTAGTAGATGTTTTATATGCAACAGGCAAATTTCACATTTATATTTACATATGAAAATTTTATAGGTAGAGGAATATTTTCATTCTTGTTAGGAGCTTAAACAGACTTCCTCACTGAGAAGCATTCTCAAACATTAAGAAAGTTTGAATAGAGTTCAAAATTGAAAGTCTATCTCTCCTGTCAAGTTATCAAAAAAAAATCTTGGACAACCTCTTTAAACAAACAAACAAACAAAAAAAAAAATGAACAAAGCATTGGCTTGTGACGTTTTTTTTTTTTGTGCTGCCAAAACTTGATGCATTGTGAGACCTTAAGTTTTTATACACTGATGAGCAACATAAAAGCAAATTGAAAGTTTGATCAAAAATAAGAACAGAAAAGCTAATTCCCTCAAAAACAGTTAGAAAGAGAGACATGGTCTAAATAAAAAAGACTATTTTTGTTTTAAAGCTGCATTAAAAGCAATGAATCACTAAGAAAATAAGTAAACTGTTTCCTGTTTTGCCTGTCACAATTAAAACTGGCATAAACAATGCCCGAGGTTTKAAAAAAAAGTGGTTATACTTTACTTACATTGCACTGGTTTGGTTAGTATCTGACATAGTCAGCCGAGTAACTCCATAAAACTGTTTGTAGTCCTTCARCGCCAAAAATGTTGCTACAATTATTCCAGGAATCCCTTGAAATCATACAAATCCACAAATAATTTCAACAATTTGGGGATTTCAGATATGGCCTGCACCAGACAGATTTCTTTTGTTTATTTAAGATATATTTCAAATGTTTTCAGTTGTTTTAGATTATAACAATTTGGTTGGCTTGCTCAGGTTCAGTGATCATATTTATAGAAAATAAGGAAGTCCAGATCAGTGAGCCATTAGCTTGTTTCTATAACCTTTTGCTGAACAGTTTTACAAACTATTATTCTGAAACCTTTACTTTTGTATTTGTCCATCACCATTATGACTATGAATAAGGACAACCAGTTTAAAACCAATGTCCTCAACATTAAGATGCAGGGTCTCAGGATGTTATGTCTGCCAACCAACCAACCAACCAACCAACCAACCAACCAACCAACCAACCAACCAACCAACCAACCAACCAAC